CGGAACCAGGGACTGAACTCAGGCCCTGCACTGAGCCATCTCCCCGGCCCTTCAACTTTTTTTTTTTTTTTTTGGAACCGGGGACTGAACTCAGGTCCTTGTTGTTTGCCAGGCTAAGTGCTTATTCCACTGAGCTATATCCCTGGGCCTTTTAACATATTTTGAAACAAAGTGCTACTAAATTGCCCAGGCTAGCCTTGAACTTGTGACCTTCCTGACTCAGCCTTCCAAGTAACTAGGATTATAGGGTGTTCCACTATGCCTGGCTTCCAATTTTTGTCTATTAAAAGTGGCTTCAATAACTTTTTTTTTTGTACTGCCAATTGAACTTAGAACCTTGTGCTTCCCATGCAGGTGCTATGCTGCTGAGCTATCTCTCTGGCCCTGTCTTTTACAAATAAAGCTGCTACACATTTCTCTAGGGAAGTAAGGAAGTATGACTGTTCATTTCTCTTTCACAGTAAGCGAAACCAGCTTATCAGGTTGTAATCTGATGAGATTAATTAATTTACTTATTTGGTATAGGATCTCACTATGCATCTTAGAATCATAGTGAACCTCCTGTCTCAGCCTCCTCAGAGTTGAGATTACAAGCATGTGCCACCATGCCCAGTTTTGGTGGCCAGCAAGGGGGGAATGACATGTAGTACTAGGCATCAAATCTGGGTTCTTGCACTTGCCAGGCAGGCACTTAGACCACTGAGCTATCTCCTCAGTGCTACCCAGTAAAGCTTTGTAGGAATGATAAAATTAAAGACTTGTAGAAGGTGATAATCCTAGATTATCCAAGCGGACTCTAAATGTCATCATAAGTGCTCTTCTAAGTGAAAGGAGGAGCTAGACAACCAGCCAGACAGAGAGCCCGTGATCAGAGGTCACAGGTGAGACTGGAGTATCTCAGCTCCAACCCACAGAACTGCGGTCACTAGAAACTGGAAGAGGCCAGGACAAAGTGTCCTCTGCAGCTTGTGCTATCAGCTGGGAAACTACTTTTGGACTTTTGGTTCCTAGATCTAAGAAAGAACGAGCTACAGTTTTCAGGCCTCTGCGTTTGTGATGATGTGTTGCAGAACTCCAAAGAAACTAATATGTATAGTAAAACTATCTTTACCTTTAAACAAAAAACCCTCCTGCACTCTGAGGTGGCCGCACCTTCTCCACGGCCCCTGGGAGTGTGTCTGGGACCCAGGTGCTGGGTGCCTGCACTTCAGGATTCCAAGAGGTGTGTGGTCTGTCACCATGACACTGGTTGTGCTCCTTTCACAGCTAGTGAACTTGTGCATGTTTTCACTGCTCTTTTGCTATCTCTATCCCCTTTTCTAGGAAGTGTCTGCTCAGGTTTCCTGTTCAACTCCTAAAGGAAATGTTTGTCTTCTAATATTAAATTAAGAGTGCTTTTTATGGGGTTGGGAGATGGCTCAGTGGAGTAAGTGCTTCCCTGGCAAGCGCAAGGGCCTGAGTTCAATCCCTGGTTCTGCCCCCCCCCCAAAAAAAAAGGAATGTGTTTTGCATATTCTGGATGCAAGACCTTGGTCAGATATGTGAGTATGTTCTCCATTCTGAGGCTCGTCCATTCTGGGGCTCGTAACCAGCACATGGGTTACTTTTTAACCTATGACCACCTAGTTGTTCAAATACTATTTATTAAAAATATTCTTCTTACTCAGTTGAAATGCTTTCAAGCCTTTGTCAAAAATCTACAAACTTTTTTTCTTTTTCTTTTTCTTTTTTTTTTTGGTGGAACCGGGGATTGAACATGGGTCCTTGTGCTTGCCAGGAAAGTGCTTATTCCACTGAGCCATCTCCCTGGCCCCTAAAAAATCTACAAACTTATGATGGTGTTGATACATTTCTAGACTATTTTCTTCTGTGTCTGTCTCTCCTCTAATATTATCCTGTCCTGATTAATGCTGGTTTTGGTTACTACATAGTAAGTCTGAAAACTAGGCAGTATGACTTCCTCTTTGTTATTTTTTTAGCTGCTCTACCTCCTTTGTCTTCCCATAAAATTTTTTGAATTAGTTTGTCTATTTAAAAAAAAAATCTGTATTTTAAAGGTACTTGGGATTGAACTTACAGTACTCAAGATTGAACCACACATCAGGAACCAGAGTGTTCAGGGTCTCACTACTAGATTGGACTGTGATCTGCCTGTTTACAGCCTCCCAAGAGCTGGGATTACAGGTGCACACCACCACACCCAGTCTCAATTCCCATCTCAGCACACCCCAAGGGCAGGGCCCGCACAGCAGGCCTGGGGATCAAACCCCTTGCCCCTGTGCCTGCTTGCAGGCACTTTAATACACTTGGCCTTAACTTTGTTCAAGGCCAAGTATTTGGGGTTCCTCATGTGCGCCACCATGCCCAACCTACAATCTGCTGCAATTTTTACATTTTCTCCATTGAGTCTTTGATCTATGAAAACAATGTGTCTCCATTTATTTAGATCTCCTTTAATTTTCTTTTAATAACCAACATTTTATGGTTTTTATCATACAGATTCTGAATATGTTTTGTTAGATTTATATCTGTTTCACTTGGGGCAAATAATTATAAATGATGTGTCTTTTAAATTTCAGTGTCCAATTTTTATTGCTAGCATATATAAATATAATTGATGGCTGGTTTTGATCTTACATACTATAACCTTGCTAAATAAATTGATTGATTCTAAAACATTATTTTGTACATGTGTTTGTTTTGTTGGTCTTTTTGAGACATGGTTTCACTATGCTGTTCAGGTTGGCCTTGAACCTGTAACAATCCTCCTGCCTCAGCCTCCTCAGTTCTGCAATGACAGGTGTGCACCACCACACTTGGCCTGTATATGTGTTTCTTTTTCAGGTATCGGGAATCGAACTCAGGACTTGTGTTTGCCAGGCAAGTGCTTGTGCCACTGAGCTACATTCCCAGCCCTGTGTGTTTTGTAGATTCCTTGGGATCTTTTGTCATGTAAATTTGCATTTTAATTGGTACAAGGAAAGTTTTTTTTTTTTTTTTTCCAGAACCGGGGATTGAACTCAGGCCCCTGCTCTTGCCAGGCAAGCACTTATTCCACTGAGCCATCTCCCCGGCCCTTAATTGGTACAAGGACTTACTTCAACCTTTTATTCAATACAAGAATCCTCTTAGCTGAATCCTTTTAAACAGTGAAATCATGAACAAAAAATCACAACAATGCATGTTGTATGTTAACTAGAAACATGTGAACCTCGCATTGGTTGTCACTCTGTCATGTCCTCGGGAGTGTCTCAAGCATTGATTTCAAAGTTACAAATACTTTTTGGTGAGTAGGCAAGTTTGCAAATAAGGGTCAGAATAATGATGGATTGTGAGTGTATGAAGACATTTATATTTATATAGATCCTTACAATCCATTAGTTGTTCTTAATTTACTGTGTGTATTTTTTATATTTTTTGTATTTGAGGTAGGCAAGTTTGCCCCTCTGTTCATTATGCTCAGGGTTTTACCCCGTTCTATTGCTGCCCCCTCCCAGGATTCCTGCTCCTCCTGCTTCCCAGTGCTCAGCAGCAGCAGGCAGATCCCTGCAGACTGACCCCTGCAGCAATCAGCAGGTCTGGGAAAGTTCTTGCACCATCACTTGGTGCATTTCTTGGGGGAGGCAGGGGAGTGTTTGTGGTACTGGGGGTTGAACTTGGGACCTTGCACTTGCCAGGCAGATGCTTATGCCGCTGAGCTATATTCCCAGCCCACTTGTTGCACTTTTATTGTTAAATCAGAAAAACAATCTTTCCTAATGATGGCATTCAGCCCCGTGTTTCCTCTGAGGCTCAGCCCTGCCCACTCTGCCCACCTGCCCTCTTCCTCCTCCCAGGGTCTGCCGCTCTGGCTGCCTCTGCTTAGCTTCTGTTGCTCCCCCTTCCTGAGGGCCACCTTCTCTGCAGTGCCTGGCATGAATGACCCAGGCACACCCACACACTTTTCCCTTCATCTGCCCGGCTGGGGATATCTTTTCTCCTCTATTTTGCCTACTAAGTTGCTTCATTATGTTGACCATTATCACAGATGCACTTGGTGTCAAACAATTTTGTTCTTAATTATATACATTCACAGACTCTGTGTGCTGGGCAGAAGAAAGAACATGACTAGAAGCAGGAAGGCTGAATTTTACCTCACTGTGTGTTAGTTATGGCACTTTTTGTCAGCCATCCAGTCCTTCTCAAACTGTAAAATGGGAGATAATACTTATATTACTTATATTACAGAGTCTCTCTAAGTTACTCAGGTAGGATTTCAACTTGAAATCCTCCTTCCTCAGCTTCCCCAAGTGCAGGGATTGTAGCAGCGTGTCACCATGCTTGGCTTCACAAAGATCTTTTGCCAAGAGCGATGTGTATGTTTCACAGTTTCTTGCAGAAGTTTCTAACAATGTATGCCAACAAATAAAAAGAGTTATGTGACTGCCCGCCATCCCAGTATCTGAGAGGCTAAGGCAGGAGGATCACTGTGAGTTTGGGGCTAGCCTGGGTTATACAGCAAGACCCTGTCTCAAAAAAAAAAAAAAAAAAGACAAAAAAGCAACTCCTGTCCCCTGAGAAGCTGGCAATATCTTTTGCTGATGAAAGAATGGCTTGTCAGAACAACAGATAATTTAAAAAATTCCTAATTTTAGTTTCTGAATAAATTGTGAGTGTGAGAAGCAGCAAATTTTTCTTATTAATTCTGTTTTGTTTGAAATAATACTATAATCAGTTTACATTTCCTAAGGCTAGAATTAACCATTATCAAAGGAAATCTCCCCATGAATTAGCCTTTGCATAATGGTGCATCCCCAACTACATTAAATGACTGATAAACACTGAGCCCATGAAGATTTGGGATAGAAATGTTCAGATCATGATTCTCTTGAGAAATACTCTGTTGCTGCTGAATGGTCCAGGGCCTCACGAGGCAAACGATCTGAACACCGTCACTTCTAACCATCTCCCCTCTGTAAAGACCTGCAGAAACCAAGGAATACTTGTGGCCTTTTACTTACCTGTAGTCTGTAAGCTTAAACCTGGGTCCAACTTCGTGTGGGGCTTTGAGCTGATGAACAGGTAGCAAAGGACGCAGGGGGTGACAATGAAGGCCAGGAGGACCACTGCTGCTATGGACAGACCCACCAGAGCACCGACACTGGAAAGAGGAAAGCACAGGATGCTGAGCGCCGGGGCTCTGGGAGGCAGCATGCTGGAGAAGCGTGGCGGGCGTTGTGGGAATCAGCTCTGACTTCTCCTCTGTCCACGACTGCCTTACTCAGCTTCCTGTGCCAGGCATAAGCTGTAGGGAAGGAGCAACCACTCTACCTCATACTTGCCACAGGCATAACATGATGTGGCTCTGTGTCACTGGGTGCTGGGACTCAGTGTGTGTTCCTTCCTTCCCACCCTGCTTTTGTCTACCTGCTCCCACCTACTGCAGGGAGCTGAAAGTAGCCTGAAAGGCCCCTTAATCTCCAAACCAAAACACATAGTAGGGCTTTATTAAAAACCAGGTATCCAAGCCTGGGAGATAGCTCAGCAAACTAAGCGCTTCCTTAGGCAAGCTCAGGGACTGGGGTTCAATCCCTGGCACCACATGCCCTGCCGGCCCCACCCCTGGGCATACTGAGCCTGCCACCCAGATGGGTGTGGTGGTGCACACCTGCAATCCCAGTGCTGGGGAGGCTGAAAACAAGAGGATCACTATGAGTCCAAGCTGCATAGTGAGACCCTGTACCAAATACATTAAAAAATGAGGTGTCTTTCTAGCGTCAAGGTAATGTCTGATACAGCCTCCGTGGTCCTTCTGACCATGCTAGTACAACTCCACATGCAAATGTCTTCCCTCCAATCTCACTGCCTCTGCTAAACTCAGGCCTTGGTCACTTGGTATGAAAGAACAAAGCCCGTTTTCTCTCCCATTCCATTCAATGCAGCACTTCTGACACCAGAGATGTAGATTTCCCCTCAGCCAGACCAAGGACTTTTCCAGTACCCGCTATATATTCTGTCATTTAACTCAATTCTGACACCATCTACCTGGAGATAGTATGCAATCAAGTGGATTTCATGGGCTTATTCCCATGAAACTGCCTCCCCCATTTTAGATGACAATCACAAGTCAAAGGTTCTCAGCTACACTTGTGACCCAATAGTTATCATTTAGTGTGCCCAGAACCCCTTTCTCAGGCTTAATTTATTAGGGTAGCTAACAGAACTCAGGGAAACACCCACATTTACCAGTATGTTACAAAGGATATGACAAAGGACAAATCGGATAGTAGATTCAAGTAATGCCCAGAGCAAAGTGTGGGGGTTGCCTCTCCAAGGGGGCTACCCTTCAGCAACGCCCAGGCTCTCCAGCCCTGGCCTTTGCATTTCTACACAAGCTTTCTCCCATGGGCCTGGCTATTCCATCCCTAGCCCTTCTGGAGTACCACAGCCCTCAGCTCCTCTCCCCTGGCTTCAGTCAGGGCTGGGCTAGAAGCCACAATTGGTTCCTCAGCAACCAGCCCCTCCAGAGGCACTCCTGGAAATTGCCTCTTACAATACAAAATATTCCTATCATCTTTTGGGGACTCTGTGTCAGGAGCTAAAGATCAAAGATCATACTTGAGAATAAAAGACTATCCTAGGGCTGGTGAGATGGCTCAGTGGTCTAAAGCACCTACTTAGAACAAGCTTAGCAAAGCACAGGGACCGCGGTTCAATCCCCCAGCACCACATGCCAGCCAGCCCCGCCCCCTGGTGGGCAGAGCTGGCCACACACACACACATAACAAATAAATTAAATAAATAAAATTTTTAAAAATAAAATAAAATAAAAGACTATCCTAGCACCCTTACCTACAAGGTTTTAGGAGCTCCATCTCAGAAACTGGGGCAAAGACAAGCATACATTTATTGTTATACTATCACATCTATGTCTCTAGAAAACTGTCTCCTGGCTCATTTGGGGATCACCCTCCTTCCTGTTTCACGTGATTGTCTCCACTATCTCTCTCCCCACAGATTTTACCTGTCTGTGGAGCCCTACTACAAATATCTCACCCTTCATTCTCTCCTTAGTCATCCTCCTGCTCTCTCCTCCATTCCTAAGGCCAGTTGGACCCACGCAAGTTGCTTCTCTTTCAGGCAGGCAGTCGGGTGTGGTAGGCAAAGAGTAAAGGCTTTGGAAACAAACCCATCTAGGCTAGGAAACCAGCCCGGGTAATGACTTAGTGAGATCTTGGGGAAGCTATTTAGCCTTTGACACTTCGGCTTGTCTGAAAAATGAGAATGATCAAGACACAGCACTTCATAAGAGGATGAATGACAATGAGATATTTTGGCACATAGTAGGTGTTTAACATACTCCTCATGTGTCCTCTAAAGACAGAGTCAAACGATGTTTAATCAGCTTTGTTTTCTTCTTGTACAGGGTTGGGCACATGGTAAACACTGTTGAGTAGCTACTACATGTGAGGTACTGTAAGATATTCTCCAGTAAGGAGGTGTGGTGGCTTGTGTCTAGATGTCCCTCAAAGCCTCTTGCAGTCATACGTGGGGTTTTTCAGAGATGGCTGGATCTAGGGTGTGTGGGCTAAGATCAGGGATGTCATTCTAGGATTAATTCATGGTGAGAGTAAGGCTGCCCCACTCTGGGTGTGAGTGGTACCTGCCCTAAGGGTGGGTCACCTGGATAGGATACAAGTGACAGAAAGAGAGTTGCTTTCCACTTTCTACTTGCTGCTTTGCTGCCCTCTGCTTTCAGCCAGCCATGAACTGTTCCTCCTCTAGGATGCCCCACTGTCACACCACCCTGCATTGAAGCCAGCTGACTACGGACTGAAACTTCTACATACTGTGAGCCAAATAAACCTTTCCTCCTTTAACTTTGGGTGTTGGATACTTTGCCTCAGTCATGGGAAAGTTAACTAAGACAGAAGAGAGAGACAGGTACCAGACTTTATTTTTTCCTGCCTACCCTTCCTCAGTTCTCTTATGTCTCTTTCTCCCTGACTCCAGCCTCAGACTCCTACCCTTGCCATTTCTGCAGGATCTCATCCCAGTGAGCTGATGGTTAATTTCCACTGAGACATCTTAGAGCTATCTTAGAGCTAGATGTGTTGACATATACCAAAGCCCCAACCACTTGGAAGGCTCAGGTAAGAAGATTGCCTGGACCAAGAAGTTCAGAACCAGGCTGGGGAGGTGGCTCAGTAGAATAAGTGTTTGCCTGGCAAGCACAAGGGTCTGAGTTCAATCCCTGATTCCGCAGAGAGAGAGAGAGAGAGAGAGAGAGAGAGAGAGAGAGAGAGAGAGAGTTTGGGCCGGGAGATGGCTCAGTGGAATAAGTGCTTCCCTGGCAAGCGCAAGGGCCTGAGTTCAATCCCTGGTTCCACCAAAAAAAAAAAAAAAAAAAAAAAAAGTTCAGAACCAGCCTGGGCATCTTCTGTCTTCTGAGTTTTGAAGAGTCTACTTTTCCACCACTAAAGAAATTACTGAATGTCCCTGCAATGGAATAATAGAGAGCCATTAAAACATATTTTCAAATAATATTTAAGATCACAGAATAATTTTTGTGAGATCATGTTAAGTAAAAATAGCAAGTTCCGCTAGTAAATATATAGCACAGCCTCAATTTGACTACCTAAGCATAAATATGTGCATATGTATATCTATGTAAGTTTAGAAGGTGCTCGCTCTGTCCACCTTCCCTTGGGCTTGATCATTGTGGGGAATTCCAGTCAGCTTCAACTGCCCACCCTGTATCTCTGCCTGAGAGCTTTCCTGGCCACAGGACAGGCTCTGTCTGCACACTATGCAGATCAGAAGTCCCGGGTAATTCATTCCTCTCTCCGCCACCAGCCCACAAACAATGACTGACACAAGATGATACATAAATACCCAAGCTTCTTGGCCTTCCCATGGGATAACCCTGAAGTCTGCACCTCATCGGCTGGCAGAATTTAAATTCTGGTTACTTTGGTATGAACTGTTTGTTAACACACCCATTACTGGCTTCTTCCCTTCCCTGTCTCTCTTTCCTACAATCTACTACAGCTTTCTGGGACTACTTTTCATATAAATGATTTGCCATCATGTCCTTGTCTTTGAATCTTCTGGGAAACAAACTAGGACACTGGGTTTTCTATGGTTTCCTTCCTTACAAGTTAATTAACCATTATGTTTCTCATCTGAGATATACTTACTGTTCATGGGGCTGGTCGATCTGTGCTCAGATGGGGATGACACTATGGGTACCTAAAGGGTCTTCGAAAAGCATCCTTTGCAGAATGGGTGAGAGGACTGGGGATGTGTCCTCATGGGAGGTTTGTCAGGCAGGCCTACCTGTGAAAGGCACTGTCCCTGCTCTGTCTGGACATAGAAGTGGCCTCTAAGGATGGCACTGGGAACAGCATGGGAGGCTCCAGTGGAAGAAACCTGGTGAGTGTTGTTTGGTGCTGGGGGTGGAGTGCAGGGCCTCGTACATGCTAAGCACCTGCTGTGCCACTGAGCTGTCCTTCCACTTCTGGAAAATCTATTTTTAGTGTAAGATGAACTCACATTAAAGGAGTTGTCCCTGTGAATGTGCCTCCTCCAGAGGTGGCATTCTTCCTGTCCCAGGAGAGAGTCACAGGACGCCTGGCTGTGGATGCCTCTTGACGAAGCCAGAGTCCTGCCTGCATGGAAACTGGATTAGAGAGTTTCTAGCCTTGCAGGAATTCACTATTCTGATGATGAAAAACTTTTTAAAACTCCACTGTGACCCCTAAGAAACTACTGGACAGGCAGCCTAGCAAGTAAGCGCTTTGTAAGCTGCTGCCTTCTGCCTCACATCCTGGTAAAAATGCAAGACTAGCCACAGAGCGGCAAGTGGACCAGATGGAAGGATAGCACCAGCTGCTTCTACGCGGGCCATCCTTGCTTTCTGGTGTGCTTCCCTGTTACTGATAGCATTTCTCCTGAGTGCTCTCTCTCCAAGGAAACAGCACTTACCTGATGATTTTTATGTCTGTAAGGATCAGCTTTTGTGAAAAGGGTCAAGTAGAGTGAAACAAAGCCCCACTCCTGCAGTGGCAGAGCTCTGTCAGGAGCATGCTGGAAAGGCTATTTCCAGGTTAAGAGCACAGTGACCAGCTAGATGTCCTAAGGACCCTCAGTTCCCCTTCTCCATCCATAAGGAGGAGTGATCGTCTATGATGTTTATGACTCATGTTCTGTTCAAGCCCGGTAAGAACTGCCCTACATACTAGAACATTTCAGCTGCCTTTGGGGTCATAGTGACATGGGCTGTGACCTCAGAGAACATCCCATCTACAAATGTATCTTCTGAGCTACTTGAGCACTCCACAGGGATAGGGTTTCCCAGGCAACAGAAGGAACTAAAGAGATGTGTGGAGAAAGGAGTGAGGAGGAGGGAAAAGGCCCTGGCTGGGTGCTGAAGGGATCGCTCAGTTCTGGGTCCCCTAAGGCTCACCCAGTGCTGACAAAATAGTGCAAGGTTAGTGAGTGCTTTTCAAGTGATCCGAGGAGGTCAGGTCATAAGAGGGCCAGACTAGGTTCCAGTCATGAAACTGGACAGCCCAGGGATAGAAGCCAGATAAGCCTATGTATTCACCCCAGCTCTGCCACTTACCACTGAGGCGCTCCCAGACATAACTTCACCTCCCTCAAGTCTTCCCAGATGCAAAATAGAAAGAAGAGGCACCAGGGTTGTGTGAAAGCACTGAGCCCTTGAATAGGCCTAGGTACTGTTCTTTTTTTTGTACCAAGAATTGGGTAATGATCTTTATTGGGTCTGCTATACTATTGCTAGCAGATCTTAGTCAATTCACTTTCACACTCTGAGCTTCCCTTCCCACCTCGAAACCAAGGAAAAGGAACTCTTTTCTACCAGTCCATTTCACGTGCGTTATTTTACTTACTCTTCACAACAATTCTACAAGAAAGGTATTGCTATCACCATCTGGAAGATGTGAAAAGAGGCCAGGATATGAAATGAACCTGTAATCCATACAGATAATTCAGACAGAGCCAAGGTTTGAGCCAGGTTCTGACCATCCTCAAAGCTCTGTATTGCATCTATATTCAACAATCAGCTGCTAGCTCAGTACTAAATACACAGAAGACCTTCAACAAATGCTCCATTTTATTTAAGGTTCAGGTTCTCTTTCAATGGACTGGGAGTGCCTCCGGAGCAGAGAATAATTGATTTTTGTGTCTCCTATATCTTGTAAAGTGCCCAGCACAAAGCAAAGGTTACAATGAATGCATGAATAATAAATTAATGATTCCTTGGGCTTTAGACATCGGCCCACTGTTCAGGCTCTAAAGCCAACTGAACACCTTACAGAATTACAGATTGAGCACTCCAGAAAAGCAATGACATCTGTAACTGTCATTGGCATAGGTCAAGCTGTTTTCACCTCTTGGATCCTTGCCACTGCCTTAGTTGCAAATCAGGGCAAGATAGATCATTCTCCCCATATGATAGCTGAAAAGATGGAGGCTCAAGAAGATTTCAGGGGCAGACAATGCTGTTCTTTTCCACCCAGAGGGCACAGAGCCTTTGCTCATCTACTTCCAGGGACAGGAATATCTGGGATCTACTGAGACAGCTCACTGTCATGCCTGGTTTCCACCTCAGGTCTCATTCTCTGCATGAGGGCTTTGCAGACCAAGACAGATTAAACCTATTAAACCTATTGCCTGTTAACCCCCACACTCACGTGGGGTTGGCAGAATTGGCCTAACCCCTTCCTTGAACATCTGAAGAAACTGGTGTGCTATGGAAGGGGACCCAAAACACCCGAACACATGTCTACTAACATGACTGAAGCTGGCTTCCACTGTGGCATTATGCCACTGTAACGCAGAGAGCTGCAGGTAGCTTGACCACTATCTTCTGCCTTCATTTGAGGATGGGCTACATCCCCAGAGTGCCCCAAAGGGGTTGGCACACACTGAGCATTCAGTAGGGCGGAACGAAAAGTACGAAAGGGAAGGACTGGGTAGAGGCAGGGCTGAAGCCAGGTTGGAGTGTAGCATGGGATGAGGATTAGGGTCTAGAACATACCTGGATCAGGCTGTGGGAGAAGAGGCTGCGGCTGGTGACAGAATAAGGTCTGGAATGAATATTAGGGCATAGATAGGTAAAGCCAGGGAAGCAGCTGGTGTTGATGTCAGCCCAGGGAAGTCCTTGGCTGGGACTAGAGTGGAGTCTGGGATTCCTGTGGCTGTTTGGAGGTGTGCTTCTGCTGTTAGGCTAAGGGCTGCTGCGTGATTTGGTGTTGGGTTGAGGGTGGTGGTAGCATGAAGTCTAGGGAGTGGGGACAGAGCGATGGATTTGGGGTAGAGTTAGGGAAGGCTCAAATTTGGTTCTAAACAATGGTCAGGATGAGCCTGGTGTGGTGCTCCATGCCTGTAATCCCAACACTAGGGAGGCTAAGGAAGGAGGATTGCTGCAAGTCGGAGTCCAGCCTGGGCTGTACTCAGGGGCAGCCTGAACTATACAGCAAGACCCTGTCTCAAAAAATCTCTCTCTCTCTCTCTCTCTCTCTCTCTCTCTCTCTCTCTCACACACACACACACACACACACACACGATGGTCAGGATGAGGGAGGGCACATGAGATGGGTTTTGGACTGGGAAATCAGCCTGGTGACTGGATGAGAGTATTCCGGGCCTGGGGGCAGGGAAGGGTGGGATAGGGTTGGTGGGGGCCGGATGAGGAGGAGGTTCAGCTAGGAGCTGGGGTGGGGGTGGGTGCAGCGAGGGGACGGGGCTGCAGTGGCCTTGGGGTGGGGTTAGGGCCAACGCCAGTACCTGAGCCACCACATGTAGTTGTGCTCGTAGGGGAAGAAGCTGTGCGGGTCGTCGCAGCAGTACTTGTGGTCGCGGAAGCCGCAGCAGAAGACAGCGGCTGCCTCGCCCCCCGGGCGCGGGCAGCTGAAGCCTCGCACCTCCTCCTGCTCCGCGCTCACGTAGCTCGAGCAGTAGCCGCTCATCGTGCCTCTGGCCACGGACCGCGGGGACAGGTACGGGGACGGAGACGGGGACAGGACGACAAGACCACAGTGCGCGGAGACTCCAGAAAGTGAAGCAGAGAGGCGGAGACGCGGCGGATGAGACCTGGAGCCCGAGATCAGCGCGTGGTCACAGGTGCGGGAGGTGGGGGGAGAAGGGGGGAGGGTCGGAGGGGGGAGGGGAGGGAAGGAGACGAGAGAGGAGGGGAGGGGCGCCCGCGGAGCCAGTGCCTCTGTGGCTCACTGCCTTCCTTCCCGGGTGTGCGCGGGCCAGAGGGGCAGAGCAGGGATTCGATGTCATGGGCATGGGTTCCTCACCTGCCTGGGGCACCTGCCTGGTTGTTAGCGATGAGCTTCAGAGAGAGACAAGCGACAGGCAGTGACCACACAGTAAAGTCAATTTGGAACAATTAGGAGATACTAGTTCACTTAATGGTCGCAACCTAGAGGGCCAAAGATATTCAAACCCATTTTCTAAGTGAGAGTAACAGCCATGGACAAGCCATTTCCCTGTGGGATTTGAACCCAAGACTGTCTGACTTGATCCCTAGTTCTTACACTGGGTGTGGTGGCGCGCGCCTGTAATTCCAGCACTTGGGAAGCTGAAAACAGGAGGATCACTACAAGTCTCATCTGTGTAGTGAGACCCTGTGGACCCTGTACAAAAAACATTAAAAAAAAAAAAAAAATCCCTAGTTGCTACTCTCATAACTTTCTTGAACTTTTTTTTTTTTTTTTTAGGCAGGGTCTCAACTATGCAGTTTGTGCTGTAGCCCAGGCTACCCTCAAACTCAGGGCAATCCTCCTGCATCAGAGTGCTGGGATTACAGGCATGCACCACCACTTCCCATTATCTGTGACCTTCCAAAACGTCAAGCACTTCCCTGGCAAGCTCAAGGGCCTGAGTTCAATTCCCAGTTCCCCACCAAAAAAAAAAAAAAAAAAAGCAAAAGCAGATGAAATTTCAGGGGCCAGGGAGATGGCTCAGTAGAATAAGCGCTTGCCTGGCAAGCACAAGGGCCTGAGTTCAATCCCTGTTTCCACAAAAAAGAAAAAAGAAAAAGAAAATCTAAATATCATTTTCAGGCCTCCTTAAGTTCCCTTCCTTCTCCTCACTCTGACTCCTGCACAGAAAATGTCTACACTGCCCCTGCCACTGTCCAAGAACAAGGGGCAAGCCTGGGTGTAGATCATCCCAGGTGGTAATCCCTTTCCAGTTTTCAAGCAGTACTGGGGGAACTCTCCACCTTTAGAAATTATTTCAAAAAAAAAAAAAAGAAAAAAAAAAAGAAAAAGAAAAGAAATTATTTCAGACAGAGAGCAGGGCTCCCAAAAAAAAAAAGAAAAAGAAAAGAAATTATTTCAGACAGAGAGCAGGGCTCCCACGAGGATCAGATTATCAGGTTTAGGAGCTGTAGCTCCCCTGTGGCTGGTGAGACAATAGATAGAAGATCCCTAAGGGTTTTGTGCAGCTCCTGAAAGGCCTTAGCTCTACGAGTTTCCCAGCAGGGGACAGAGCAGGAAAGACAATGTGATATCTTAGGATCTCTATCCCCCACCCTCACCCTCATCCCCAGCTTTGGGAGTGTGGGAGATGGATCCTGGGGATCAGGGGACCTGGGCTTAAGTCTGGCTCCACTCCCTGCCATTTCTCTCTATATTTCTAGTTCCTAGACTTCCTGCAGGTCAGCTCCAGAGGTGCAGAAGTGTGCCATGCCCCTGATCTGGGCCCTAGGGTCCCCAAGAGGCGCCAGATCTGGATGTGTCCCTGAGAAACAGTTTGGTGGAGGAATTAGACAGAACCGACCATCTCAGGCAGGACAGGGGAAATGCAGGGACTCTGGACAGGAGGCAGGGAAGGGCTTTGAAGGGATAGTGTCTTCAAAGGTCACTGTAGGGTCCAATATGAGAACTGGAGGGCCTTGTTGTTGTCCCCAGCAAGTCCTTGCCTGAATGGTAGATGTCCGCAGACACTGTCAACAGACTGCCCTAAGTGTGGTACACTCTGAGCTCTGTTTATCAGAAAGAGCTTGCAGGCTAGGAATCCTTTAGGAAGGAAGGAGATTGCACTGTGCTGAAAACTCCTACAGAAGAAAATGCTCAGCTTGGCTTTTGGCAAAACTAGGAAAACAACAATTTCTAAAATCCTGTTCCTGTGGAAAATTAATTTTTTGTTCTTAACAACTTTGAGGGGTCTCTGTGTGAGAAAAAATGAGCACAGTGTCACATAGCACTCGGTGGCCTTGGCATGCTATATATCTGTGTAGTTAATCACCTTTGGAATCTTTTTTCTTTTTTAGTACGAGTGGTCAAAGCTATGAACCACTGAGCTACATCCCCAGCACTTTTTTTTTTTTTTTTTTGAGACAGGTCTTAATAAATTATCCATAGGGTCAGCCAAATAGCTCAGCGAATTAAAGCACCTGCAAGCAGGGGCTGGGAGTTCCATCCCTGGGCCTGCTGTGCCAGCCCCACCCCCAGCAATTGAGACTGGGCGTGGTGGCACGCCTGGAATCCCAGTTCTTGGGAGGCTGTAAGACTGTAAACAGGAGAATCACTACGAGTCCGATCTAGTAGTGAGACCCTGAACATCCTGTAGACCCTTCTCTAAAATACAAA